ATTAAGTACAGTAATGAAGTAAAAACCAGTGAGGGATTCAGGAGTATGTATTAATAATGAATAGGGACAAAAGGAAGGCTTTTAGAGTAACACGTGCAGTGCCAACTGGTCAACGTGGAGAGAGTGCTGGATTTGGAAAATCATTTTGCAGCCATCGTGGTGTATACATCGTGGTGTATACATCGTGGTATACAGGGATATATGGTGAGGAGCAGGATATTTGCCTGGCCTTAGAAAGCATCTCCCCCCAAAACTGGTAGACAATAGACAATGTGCAACATCTTGAAAAAGTGACTGAATGTAACATCACCGTGGGGCAGATGGAGATGGTGTGCCTCCACCGAGGACCTTCAGAGAACACAACATCACATATCCAGAGTTCCATACTGGATATAAATTATACCTCAGTATAGCTTATTTGAAAAGGTACAAAAAGTACCTTTCATAGTCCATGGTTTGAAAAGGTTCTGCATTAGTTTAGAGGCGAAAGGAATACTCTGCTTGTATCCATGATACAGCAGTCCCCTGAAGACCTCTGAAGAGACCATCTCTACCCACAATGGACAAAAGCCAGAGATAAAGTCACACGGTCCTCCATTCTGAAGCACATTACGGGACAAAAAAGAAAAAAAAAAAAGCATTTTTACAGTAACATCTATTTGGCAGTTTAGAGAATGTTCACATAAAGGTCCAAAATAAAACACAAAAACTGAATGAAATCTTGCCTCCAAGGACCCCTTCGTATCATCCCACATCCTAAGAACACTGTTACTTTTCTCCAAAGTTTCTCTTCATAGTGGGGAGAAGTTTCTATGTGTCCTGCACAAGTCCACACATGGGCAGCCATCAGTACCTTAACCTCCCCATTTCTTATGGCCCTATCCACATGATCCCCCCAGGCCAGAAGATCCCCCTTCATGCACTGCCTGTACCATCTTTTATTCTCTATTAAGCATTTATGACAATCCTCCCAACAGTTACTTGCAAACAAACACTTCCAACTTAGCACTTACAAATGATCTCCAGCATGTGGGAAAAGTGTTGGTTTGAACCGAGGGAAGAGTAAGGAACATGGGCATACTTAATAACCGTTTCACTCCTTTGCTTCTTCCGAGCCAGAAAGTCACTTTCTACTGAGACAACCACCCTCCCTCCACCCTTTCCTCTAACAGACTTCCAGCCTATGAACGTGATCATTAGTCTCAAGATGATATTTTGTTATAACCAATGCAGTAAAATTTTAGGGGACTCAGATTTTCACCCGTTTTGGTGGAAGTACAAAGATAGACCCTGAAATCAGCTTATGGTTCAGAAAGTAAGGGAAACTCAAAGCCAAACATTACTGTGAAAGCACTACCAGGACATTTTAGGTCAACTGCTATGCAACCTGCAACCGATCGACTAAAATAGAAAGTAACACCTCACTGGTGGCAAAAAAATGCTCAAAAATGGAGTGAAGGCAGCATAAATTTAACCACGGCCAGACAAACCCAAGAGAAGTTAGTCTACGACTAAGAAAGGGTACAGCCAGGGTTTGAACCCAGGAGGTCTGGCCTCAGCGCTTAGATTTGCAGTCCCTATGCCAGCCTAAGTTGAATACCAATTCCCCAGCACACATGCCTCCCAGACAGTTCCCACACGAAGGTCTACATCCAAAATTGAGTGTTTCCAGAGACTGACGGCTTAAGTCTTAACAATTTACTAAGCCTCGTCTAATATTTAAAGGCCATTGTCCAGACACTTTCTTCCTGTACTGAGTAGTACTCATCAAGATTCTTACTAGAACTCCTTTCAGTCCTTTTATCTGAAGAGCTGATAAGGAATCTCTCCTACTAAACTCAACCATATTCTTTATTCCCCCCATCTCCTTCAGCTAAGAGTGTTACACTGACATTTCACAATTACTAGCCCTAACCAGACAGCAGCTTTTAGCTTTCCTGGCTGACAGGAATCTAGGCTTTTATTATAAATGCAAACAGGATACGGCTCTATTGAATGCACTTCGGAAACCTCCTCAAATCATTTTGTTGAGAAAGCATGCTTCCTTGTCACCGAGTTGGTGGCTTTTCAGGTCATTCCATACTCCACACAGGGTCCTCCACTCCCATTGGCAAAGTGGGGTTTTTCACCTGAGGCATCTGAGGCGTGGGTTATGTAATGGTGCCATTAGAGACTCCGATCAATTCTTCAAACTGCACAGCTAGAGACAAATCAACATACACCAGGTCCGGATTCCTGTATTTTTTTAAAAGCTTTTTTAAAGTTTATTTGTTGTGTGTGTGCATGCATGAGTGTGTGTGTGTGAGAGAGAGACACACACAGACACACACACACAGACACAGAGACACAGACACAGAGACACAGAGAGACAGAGAGAATCCCACACAGACTCTGAACGGTGATCATGGAGCCCAATCCAGGGCTCCATCTCACGAACTGAGATCATGACCTGCGCTGAAATCAAGAGTTGTACGCCTAACCAGCTGAGCCACCCAGGCGCCCCTAATTTCTGTATCTGTGAAGTCCTTTCCTCCTCCTGGGTCTGTGGAGTCATTTCCTCCTCAATATCTGACGCTCCTGCCCAGGCCTGAAGTCGATACGGACTAAAAGCTTTCTCCATTTTGATCTAACTAGACCAACTTTTCTTTCCTTGAAGCTTTCCAGGAGGGGGACTCCTTGTATTCAAAATTAATAAACTGGTAGGAGAGAGGATTCCTATCTGAAAGGGATGAAATGGAAGAAATGGAAGTGTGCCCTGCTCCCTTGAAGAAACCAGAGGTTTTGAAGTCCCTCCTTGGGGTTCCTGACAGCTCTATGTGGTTTGGAAACTATCTCTAGTGGTTTCTAAGTAACTAGCACGGAGCCAATATGCTAGTCACAGCTGGACACAATGAAAACAGGGATCTTGGGAGGTCAGGCAGTGCCTGGAGGGTGCAGGAAGACTGGGGTAAAGTCGTGGGGGAGGCAAAGAAGATATTCTAGTGACTAGTATTAAACTTGACCTCCAGGGCAAACAACTTCCCTACAATAGTTTTACCCCAGTTTGAGTGCGAACGCAAGCATCTTACTACACCCCCCCCCAAAAAAGACCAAACACCAGGCTTGATGCCAATGCAGTATGGCTCAGTGTCCTGCTCAAACCGTCATAGGAAACTCCTGGTATGTTCCAGACACTGTGCTTCATACACTGACACAAATCAACATACTTCACACCACGGAAGATGGCTCAGACTTCCCTTGAAAAGAAGCTTGCGGCCAAAACCAGGTGAGCCCCTATCAATCTGTGGGGCCTGAGGCAAGGGTACAAATGGAGGCCTAAGTAATTACTTTAAAGAGGTCATCAAGCTAGCCAACTGTCACGCAATCCTCCTCCCTTAACAAATGGAGCTTTTTAACAACCTGAAAGGCCAGGTACTATTTACAATTGCAGGTCTCTGGGAGTTCCCGGCCAGACATGAAACAGCCCTACCAATGGACACACGCTCTTCCCTCCCCCACCCAGGCTCCCTCTCCCCTCAGGGAGGCCTGGGGGTGGGGTGGGGTGGGGAGCACACCTGTAGACCCTCAACCCACATTTCCAAGCTCTTCCATCACTCCAGCACAGCTGCCCTTGGGCATTCCTTAGGGATGGGGTCTGCCCCCCCCCCCCACACTTGCGGAGGCCTGAGGCCGTGGAAGCTGGCTTGGGGACTTTGGGCACGGAATTCCGATGGGAGTATGGGAGGGGGGAGGGGGTGGCAACGAGTATCCTGGTGGGGCAGCCCACTCCATCAGTAGACACCAAGCCCAGTGGGGAGGGGTACAGCCTAGTGAAGGCCAGACACCCCTACATAAACTCTCTGAACTCCAGGGAGTAAGCGCAAAAGCCTTCTTTGCCCAGGCGTGAAGGCGACATGGACTAAAAGCTTTCTCCATTTTATTGTAACTAGACCAACTTTTCTTGAAGCTTTCCCACAGGGTCACTCCTTGTATTCAAACATCAAGTGGTGTGAGAGGATTCCTGTCTGAAAGGGATCAAAGAGTCGAAATGCTTCCAACTCTCTAGAAAGATCTCACAGCTACTATCCTCATCTGAAAGAAAACGTCAATACTCCTCAAGCAGCCAATGGATCGCACAGGGTTCTAGAACAAAAATCAGAAAAGGTGGGCTCCACAAATTGGGCAAACCTTAGCATTTTCTTTTCTGTTTTTGAACGTTAAGAACCAGAGGAGTAACTAGTCACTGCAGCTGGGGCAGCCCATTCCAAACTCTAGGAAGGGGCGCAGGCCGAGTGAAACCGAACAAGGGAGGCTTGGGCCTGCTGCGTGCAAACAGGCCTGGCCAAAGGGAGTCACCGAAGGGAGGCAATTGTCATCACAGTAGGGCGAGTGGCTAGAGCCTGCACATCACCCCCGTTACTGACCTGGTATCTGCTTTGTCTTTTCTCAAAGCAAGTTTACCAATTTTCCGGGCCTCCATAGTTAATTCTCCGGGATGGGGATGTTATTACCCGCCCGCATTATGGCCCAGTGTCGCGGTGACAACTTAGCACAGTCCGCACTCGGTGAGCACACTCACTCACTCACCCGTACTTAAAACCGGGAGCACAGCGGCCAGAGGGGAACCCAAAGCGGTACAGAAGGCAGTTCCCCACCACCTACCCCGACATCCAAGAAAAGGCTCTGAAGCAGCTGTGCGCGCCGGGGGCAGCAGAGTGGGGTGAAGGCAGTGTTACGGAGGGGGGCCAACAAAGCAAACCCTGGTCAAATGCTAGGTCTCACCCGTTTTGGGGCAGGGAAAGGGTGCCTTTGAAAGTCGCCCAACTGGAGGTGAAGGACAGGTGCCGAAGGCCCCCAGGGGCCGGCCACCGAGCCCCTCCGGGTGGGGGCGGGCAGGAAGGAGCCACGCTGCACCCCTCTGGCTCCAGGCCCGGAGGGGGTCTGAGAGAGGGGAGCGGCCGGGAGGGAGGGAGGGAAGAAAACGCTCGGCGAGCGGGGGTCCGGGAGTCGCAGTCACTCACCCAACAGCAGCAGCTTGAACTCGCGGCGCGCGTCCTTCTTGTCCCGGCGAAGCTGCCGCTCGATTTCGGCGCTGATGCGCTGCGACTCCTTCTCCTCCGCGGACAGGCAGCAGCAGCCGGCCATGGCGCGCGCTGCACCCGACGGCGCGACGCGGTCCCGAGAGCCCCGATTCTCCGCCGGCCGCTCGCCCGGCCGAGCCGCGACAGGCACCCGGGTTCGGAGAGAAAAGGACGAGACCTCTTTGACTTAGGGGAGTACGAGGCCTGGCCTTCGGAGGCTCACTCCGCTCCTCGAGGGTCGATGCCGAGGCGGGGGCGAATTCGGAGCGCCAGGAACTTGAGGGGATCCCCGCAGCTCCGGGCGCACCAGCCCCACACTCGTCCCGGGGGAGGAGGAGGGCTCGCGGAGAGGATGGGCGTGCGGCCCGCACCCGGAAGATGCGCGCGCCCCTTAGACCAGGAGGCGGACACCAGGTCCGGGGGCGCAGACAGCGCGGGAAAAGTTGGGGCGCCGGTGCCCGGGGGGGGGGGGGGGGGGGGGGGGGGGGGGGGGGGAGCGGGATCTCCGCGTCCCGGTAGGGTCTCAGGCAGGCGACAGGCACGGCGTCGGTTGGAGGCAAAGGGCCTAGCTCGCCCTTGCCTGGAAAGTTCTGAAAGTGACCGCAGATTAAGACCGAGCTCAAGGGTTTCTGCTGGCGCTGGTGGCTCTAAGTGGCAGAAGGAGGCGGAGCGTCTCGGACCTGCAGCCCTGGCGCCCGCCCCAGTAGGCCTTCGGGGCACGCCAAGCCGTAGGCGCCTGGGGGGCGAGAGGAACCAGTCAGGACGCCCGGGCGTCTGGGGTTCCTGGGAGCAGCTCCCACACCTGCATCGGTGGCTGTGAAGTCCTTGCACCCGGAGGGCCGCCTGCCGAGGTTGCGAGAACCAGCGCGCTCCGGCCTCGGGGCCCTGCTTCTTACCCAGGTTCCGACAGGTGAGCGCGTTTCGCCGGCTTCAGCCTCAACTCCCCCAGCTGCAGAAAGAGGAGAACCGAGCCGGGCGTCCGCCGCGGGAAGCCTCGCGCCTGGGGCGAGGTTGAACTCTTCACCCCCAAGTTGAGGGTTGCACACCAGCGACACGACCACACACCCTTCGTTTGCTAGACGGGCTCCTTCCGCTTCCCGGACGCCTCAGCCCGGCTCAGGTTTGGCCTAAGCGCTTGGTCAGCTGGGCAGCCTGCCAGCAAGGTGAGGCTGGGCCTGACCCCGGGGGCACTGCGCTCAGAGAGGCAGCTGCCTCTGGGTTCGGTTAAATAGGAGGCCGCCAGAGCGGAGAGTAAACATCCTTCCGGCCCCTTCCTAGGGCACCTGATGAGGAGGGCTGGGGATGGGGAAAATGGAAAACGGCTGGCCACTTTGCATTTTATGACGGGAAAGACTCCTGCTTTGTTAGAGAGGGCTCACACGTTTGCAGCAGCCCCCGGCGTGTTCGTGCCCCAGCCTTGAAGCCTGACAGCCTCTGCCTTGCAAAGGTGTGTCCGCGGCTGCACTGGCCCAGCTCCCGGGAAGTCGGAATCATGTTTGAGCTGCATTAATAAAAACTTACAAATTGAACAGCATCTCTTTGTACTCAATCGGTGCAACAGAACGCGTATTACAACATCTGATTTTTGTCTTCGGTCTGGATAGCTTTCGAGGCAGAGCGCCGAGGGGCCCGCGGAAAAAGCAGAAGTGGGAAGGTGGAGGGAGGGGATCCTGTCGTCCCGGCTCGTCCTGTAAGCACTTGATGGCTTTAGGCAATTAGTTAATGCGGCCTCTATTAAAAGCGGGCATAAGTGCCTTTCAAATGTGTGGCATATATTCAATCAATTCACATTGAGGAACATGCTGAGTGGAAGAGTGGTGTTTGTCATTATATAAGAAACTTGGCATTGCGATGCTATCTGGCTTCAAGGTCGTATTATTTATTTTACAGTTTAGGGAATGGAAATGAATCAGGCATTAAAAATGAATGTGCTTACATTCTTAAATGCTCCCTTCTTTCCTTGCAGGCCTAAACTGACCGTAACAGTTGACCCCCTACAGGCAAAATCCTGGACATTTCTCATCTGATCCTTGGCCAGTTCATCACACTTCTCTCCCTTAGCTCTTACAGACAGATTTACAATTTGAGGATAAGACTGCTTGAGAAGCCAAGATCATCATAATTGTTAATATTTTTCAATGAGTACAATCATTAGTACTTTAAAAGATTAAAGTGACTTAACTAGCCAAATTTGAACCCCAAGTTAGCTGGAATAACTGACGTGTGGATCCAATGTTGCCAAGATTCCAAAAAAAGTTAATGAAATATATTGCTCATGGCACATCTGAAAAACTTTCCTGGACTGGTCAGCTTGGCAGTATCAGAAAGCTTAAATGTGTCCACCCCCTTTGACCAAACTAGTTATTCTCCCCTTGAGAAATAATCAGAGAGAAGTCATGATTTATGTATGAAGGTGTCTATTTCTAATAACAACAATAACCTCAAACAACCTAAATGCTCAACAACAGGAAATAGGTCAAATAAATGACGGTATATACATATAATGATATATTACAATAGTTATTAAGTGTGTGAATATGTAACATGTGAATAGCAATTAAAGATGGGGGGGCAACCTCAAAATACATTGACTGAAAAAGGCAAGATACGAAAATATAAACAGTATGATAGAAATTTTGTAATAGGAATACATGTACACACCTTTAAGAGACTAAGGGGGCATCTACCAACAAGGTCAGTCTCTCTGAGTCATCACTTTTTGGTTGACTTTAATTCTCTAATGTACAGTTGTAAAATTGGTTGATTTTAATTCTCTGATGTAAAGTTATCTAGGCCCCCCCTTTCCTCAACTGTAAAACAAGAGAGGTGAACCAGAATAAGCTCCAAGGGATCTCCCAACTCTGACGTGCAGTTATTTCTTTGGTGATTTTCACACTTAGAAAGTAGTATTAAAAATAATCATAAAACAGGGTTCCTGGATGGCTCAGTCGGTTAAGTGTGAGGCTCTTGATTTTGACTCAGGTCGTGATTTCACGGTTGTGAGATCAAGCCATGCAGTGAGCCCCGCACCAGGCTCCACGGTTGGCAGGAGATTCTCTCCCTCCCTCTCCCTCTGTCCCTTCCGTGCTTGCACACACGTTCTTTCTCGAGAAAAAAAAGTCATAGGGGCACCTGACTGGTTCAGTCAGTTAAGCATCCGACTCTTGGTTTTGGCTCAGGTCATGATCTCACACGTTCATGGGCTCAAGCCCCACATCTGGCTCCTCCCTGGTGGAGTCTGCTTGGGATTCTGTCTCTCCTTCTCTCTCTCTGCCCCTCCCCCAATCATGTTCACACACTCTCTCTCTTTCTGTCAAAAATAAATAAGTAAACAAAAAATTCATAAACCTAAATTTGTCACTGAGAACTATAAAAGGATATCGCAAGACAATTATTTTTATGTCTATTTTTTATTAATGTCTCTATTTTTGTTATCTTTCGGATCTAGGGGAGGGATGAGAATAATTTTAAGTTATTAAATCATTTGCAACATTATTCCAGGAAGAGGTAGTCTGGAAAAGAGGCCTCGGTAAAAGAGCATATTTGTTTTCCTGGGTTATTCCCAAAGTATCGCAAGTCCAACCCATCCCTCTTGAAGATCAGAGCACAGCGTGGATGTGAGTTTCAACTACCTGGCAACTGTTGGGTATGTAGACGGACTATGTATCTGGGAGTCCTCTGAATGTCCATTGAGTCCACACCACACCCTATACCTGGGCCGTTCCGGGTACCATTCCAGACTTCAGATAGGCTATAGTCTGGTAGAAAGGAGTTAAGATGGAGACCCTGAAACCTGAACCCATCCCTCGGTGCTTCCTCCCAGAGGGAAGACGATGAGAGCATGGAGTCCCTGGGTGGCTCGCCACAGCCCACAGATGTGCAGAGCAGGCCCCTCAGCTAACCTCTGGCTTCAGCTGAGCCTTATTCATTCATCTCCCATCCCTCTCCTGGAACTCCAGACAAACATAACTACACGTTCTCCCCACCTCCGTGTTTTGACACCTGCAGGAATGCCCGCTCTCTCCCCGGGCAAAGTTTGGTACTTTCTTTCCCAAGCTCATCTCTTTGGAGAAACTGTCTCCACCCCTTTTCAATTGGACCCTTCTTTCTCTGCTGTCTAAACACCGTATACGTTCCTCTCTTCAACTTCTCGCTCTATTACACCTGTTTTTCTCCAGATCAGTTACTTACAGGTAGAGTTTCTTGTTCATCCTTGTATTTCTCAACTTATAAAATTTAGCTGACTGAATAGAGTTGAAATTAGAAAGAATTTGCCTGAGATAAGAAAAAGAAACTACAAGAGAGAAAAGAAAGCTCTTGTGGTGAAAGACAGTGAAAAACCAAGAAGCAAACCCACAAGAATCAATGTACGATTTAAGAAACACTTGTGTATATAAACTGCCCCCAACTTGCTTCCTTAGAAGGAATGACTGCCCTGTTTCTAATTCAGAACTCCAAGGAAATGTGTAAATAGAGGGTTGGAAAAATGCTGTTCTCGGTGACAAATGTAGCATCTTAGAATTTTAACAGATAACGTGGAGGGAAAATATGACCTCGCTGTTCACAAAACGAAAACAGCACCAATACTAACACACCTATGCTGTTCTGTAGCAGTGTTTCCCAAACTACAGTTGTGACCCTTCCCTGGGTTATGACCTACATTTATTTTTTAAAGGAAAAGAATAGAATAGAAATAGGAAATATGCATCTGCTTGTTATGGTGGCATCAGACTTCTGTTTTTCGGTTGTGTTCATAAGTATGAACTCCTAGCAGACCAGTTATCAATAGGATTTTCTTGTCCGTGTCCCAGATGGGTGGGTCCAAATGATTCCCAATTCATTGTTCAGAGTTCCTAATTTTTCATTCAGTTTTCTGAGCCCAGAGTGTTCTCTATAGTTTAAGGCTTTCTTCTCCTTCTCCACTTTGCCCCTACCCCACCCATTCATCTCCAGTTTCAGATGAGAATGATAGGTAAGAATCAATGGAGTCATGATAACTACTTGGACAAATGGGTAATGACCATAGCTGGTGCCTGGATGTACTCAACATCATGTTTCTAAGGCAGCCAACGTGTCAACATGTTGCTCCAAAAATGTTCTCTGCCTGAACACTAGAAACTGTAACTTCTACGGAAAAGGGTAGAATTAGTGACAAGGAAATCTGGCTTCAAACCAATGACCGTAAGTGGGTATGAATCACTATTGTTTCTGTTTTTTTTTTCTTTAGGCTTATTTATTTATTTTGACAGAGAGGCATGAGAGGGGAGGGGTAGAGAGAAGAAGGAAGAGAGAATCCCAAGCCGGCTCCATGCTACCAGCGCAGATCCCAGCGAGGGGCTCAAACTCACGAACCATGAGATCATGACATGAGCCAAAATCCAAAGTCGGATGCTTAACCCACTGAGCCACCCGGGTGCTCCTCTTGTTTGTTTTTCAATATCACTTTTGATATGGCAGTTAAGGATCTCA